GGTTCAGGATATAGCAAGGAGATTAGTGGGACGTAACAGGGATCAGCAGGAGGATTCATTTTGTTAACCTTAGAAATCAATGACCTGGAAAAAGGAATGTTCAGCAAAACGATGAAACTCACTGATTCAAAGCAAGAGTCCAGTGAGTGCAAAGCCAAACAATGATTAAATTCAGGTGATAAGCAAGAGTGTGAGAGATAAGAAGTTTATGCAATGAGAATTAATTACAAGGAAATGCATTTGAGGGCAAAAATGTTCTGGAAAGGCATGGTATAAAAACATACAGTAAAGAACTTCTGTTATTCTGTAATTTGTCATATAAACAATGATACCAGTTTGTGCAGTAGATGTGGGGACAAATTAGCCCTTCATCTTAACAGCAGAGCATGAGGCTCAGTGGCTGAACGGGTCAAGGCTGAGAACTGTCTTTCCTCTCTGGAAAGTAGATTCCACAGCCCAGGCTGTGACAACAGTTTGAATTCGTAATACATCTATGGCGTTTGCTGGATGCTGTAGGAATGGAAATTGTTTCAGCAAGAGGAAGGTGAAGAACTTAATATTTAAATGCTCAGCATTATTATTAGATAATCAGCCAACACTTCACCTTGATTTTGGAGAGCCAGTGCCAGTTTCCGTGGAAACTGAAGTGCTATCCTGCAGCTGTCACAAAATTGTTTAAATCCCGCAGATCTCAGCTTTGACAGCCCACCAAGCACTGCAAATGTGGATTTTTAAATTGCAGCCACCAACATAAGGAACACAGAAGTTCCAGAAACTTCTTGGGCCTCATCTGTCAGAGCTGGCTGTGCTCATTGCCAGCGTGTGTGATTCCTACAGCAGCGTGTGCATATCGTGGGGTTTGTACAAAATATCATAATTGCGCAACTGACACAACGACAAGAGCAAATTATACAAAAGCAATAGTGAAATACTTCTCTGGTTCCACAACTACCCCAGCCAAATAAAATTACAATGCATTTACTCACAGCAGTCCTAGAAGGCAGAGAATTGATATTATCACCTTTCACAGGAGGCAAAAGGGAGCCATACAGAGATATGGAGCTTGCTTGTGTGCGGTGGCAGGTGTAGATGCCTGCATAACATTGGAGATTAAAAAGATTAAGGAACCATGCAGACCATCTACCTAATCTCGGTTCTTTTTACAGTCTGTGGAGTGAGGTAAGCACTACATTCAGGTTGCCTTTTACAGACACCAACTTAAGAGATCAGCCTACCTGCTGCAGCTGTGCCCAGGAGCCTGGGCATGGCGCACGTAGCGTGGAGTTGCAATTTGTGGACTCCGCAGCAGGTGTCTCCCAATGCACAAGAATATTTCCACAATCTTCACACTCCCACGGCCTGAGCCCCTGGTAAGCCTTTCAGTGAATATTTTTATGCACACCTCGCTGTGGCATGTAAGCTAAATGCACAAGCAGTTTCGATAGAAGATGCATGTTATTCACAAGTACCATAGTTTTGGGTGCCACCCCAAGCAACTATGAGAAATGACTCAGTGTCGATCACCACACACAGAAACACTTGCCCTGCAGTGGGTGAGTCCTGCATCTCTTGCTGGAAGGTGATGGATGGACAAACTGAGCAAGTTGTGTGGGCAGTGACGCTGCCGGGACAGAGCTTTGTGTGCCTCACGCAATGCACTCGATGTGACAGCACCTCGTTGCACCGTCCCTTACGTCAGTGGGTCACCTGCTGCCTGAGTAGGAACTGGTGGGACCAGGCCCAATCCTGTGAATGAAAGCAATATAATTTTCCATAAAGGAGACTAACTGTGAAGTTTCAATCTACAATGACTTATTTTAAATTAAGGAAAATATAGAAGAAAGCAGCTCACGGTATAAAAGGGGTTCAGTGTGCACACAGCTGAGCATAAATGTTTCCTGAAATCACCTGGAGGTTCCCTTTGCTTCAATGGAAGGTCTTGGAAACAGGGAAGCAAAGAAGCAACAAACAGGCACATTCTGGTTTAATAGCTCTATAAACGCAGTCCTTCCTGGTAATATAAATTAGGATTCTGTCATTTAAAGCTTCTTTTCAGCTACAATCTAGATCCAAAATGAGAACAGACCACAGCAATAAAAGCTCTCTTATCTGATCAACAGCATGTACTTAATAGCAAAAAAAAAAATATGCCATAGGTTTTTAATGTCTTTTCAGTTTCCTGTCCTTAATCTATTCTTCTTTCATTATATGCAAAGTACTTATAATATTTTGAATTAAATAAAAAAGGAAAGAGTAATCTAAAAAATCCAAATACACTCGCTAATTAAATAGCAATGCCCTTACTTTCATTCATGAAACCTTGATAAATTACAGTCTTACCATACTAATTAACTTCAAGTTTAATGGATTTCCCTCACCACCCCAAGCTATGTAACAAAACACAACATGCTCAATTTACCAAAAACAAGCCAATACTGAAAGTGCCCTGTTTGATTCTGCTTCAGCAAAGCACTGACACACACTTAAGTGAAACCAGAGGAGTAGACTTGGAGGAGCTGCTCCTCGGGTGGGGGAAAGGGTCCAAAGGAAAGGTAAGCAGCCTCGAGTCAGTGGGACAGACCAGTTCTCAGACTCACTTCAAACAGCCCACAGTGAGTCCCACATCTGGAGAGCTGGTGTCTAATGCAAAACCCGTTTCTTAGCCAGATTTTTTTCCATGTGCAATGAATTCACTTGCAATGAATCCAGAGTATTTTCATGGGTCACAGGAGACAAACAGGACCATTTTATGACAAGCAGCGTGGCGAGTTCTCTGCTGCCCCAGGCAAGTGGCAAGTGTCCTGTGCAGGAACCTGCAGCCATAAAGGCAGATCTGCATTTCTGAACTGATCCTCAACAACACTCAGAGCAGTTCCTGGGAGGTTCTGTATTTG